ATGGGGGGTTACCTTTTTGCCTAGGGCCCAGCCTCGGGGCCTAGGCCCCTCCTTCTAGCCCCAAGCCAATACAGAAGCAACACGTCAAAAAGAGTGCAGCGAAGAGTTTAAGTGCTAGAGCAGTGCGACCTAGAGAACTGCTTGGGATAGGAAAGTTAAAGGGCCAGCTCTCTGCGAAACTAAGCTGTTTGGCAAGTTCGTTGCATTGAACCGACATGAGACTGACAGTGTTCAGCTCCCTCCACCTGCAACGGTGACACTAGACAAGGGTCCATGCCCCTCAGCATGGCTGCGTGCCCGCGTGGCCAAGATCACTGCAGCCAATCCTTGGCTGGGTGGACGCTTGAGGACGGATCCACAGAACGGGAAATTAGCCGCGTGGGTGCCTGATGAACCTCAAGCGGAAGGCGTCGAAGACTTGTTTGAAGTCATTACTCTCGCAAATGAAGCGGCAGTAATGGAGTGCGAGTCCGCGCAATTCATCGTCAAAGCAGGAACGGACCAAACGGCCACTGATGGCACTATCTGTCGAATAGCTGTTGTTACAGAGCCAACTCAACATCTGTGGAAGCTGCACGTATCTTTGTCCCATGCGGTGGCAGACTCCCAGACGCTTTACATGGTGTACAGAATGTTGGATGAACGCGCCGAGGTACGACCGCTGGAAGTCGAGCGGGTGAGTTTCAATCCAGTTACGTGCTTGGGGCAAGTTCCATTTCACGGCAAATGGCTGTTCTTTATCGTCAGACGCTTCGGCTTCTTCTTGACAGGTTTGTTCAAGGACACCAGGCAGGCCAGGCCGGTGATTCGAGTCAGGTATGTGCGGGAGGAGTGGCTCCGGGAACAGAAAAGCAAGCACATTGCTGAAGTGGATGCTATGTATGTTTCTTCTAGCGACTTGCTGACATCATGGTTCCTTTCCGTGACTCAGCCGGCCTGTGGTGTTATGGCCATGGACATGCGGGATCGGATGCCTGGATTGGGCAAGGCCCATGCTGGAGTCTACACCACGCTCTTAATGTTCTATCCTGAGGAGTACAAATCGGCTGCCAACATTCGGCGTGCGTTGATGCGACAGTCTCCGGCATGCATGCCCGACGGCTCGTGTCAGGCTCCTGGTTCAAGCTCGCGTTTCGCATTCGTTACTGCTTGGCACTCCAATTATTCGGAAGTGGCATTTAATGGCTGCACTCAGCTTTCGCACTGTCCGGTAACATCAGTGTGGAAAGACTATGACGCTGCACAGTTTCCCTGTGCAGTGATTTTTCGACCAAGTGCAGGAACACTCGCAATGTGCACGGTATCGGGCGAGGAGCTGCCACCAGGTCCACTGGGGGAGGCCGTGCCGAGCACCGAAACCGCCTCCTAGACATCTTGGTTCTGATATGTTGCAACATCCCTGCGCCGAAGCACGTGCTTGCTTATGCTGATGGTATCACTGAGGCGCTCCAAGGCTGCAAACAGCAGAAAATGATTCTCATTCCGATCGACGAGAGAAGGGTCGAGGTCTGCGTGGTTGATGCGCAGGCAGTCGGGATTGATGGCTCTTGAGAGTGGGACGGGAGGCGTGCATTTTGCCTTGCGGTTGAACTGGTCCACTTGCAGTCGAGTTGCAAAACTTCCGAGCCAATTGAGTTGTCCAGTACATGCGCTAATTTCAAGGTCTTCCCGAGTCGCGCCGAAAGATCTAGCTCAGGGTTCTCATTTTTTTCAGGGCAGAGGCGGCTAGCCTCGCATTCAAGTAGCAAATTGCCTGGCACCCGCGGTGGGGGTATTCCATGGAACGAAATCCGCTTTGAAGGACGAAGATGGACGAAGCCTACACCTGTTTGCGCTGGCAGCATTTGTGCTCGAGTCAGCCTTCGTCTCCGAGCGTCCTCTCAGTTCCGCCCAGCTATGCTGTCTCTTCGCACGATGGCGCGCTCCGTGCGGCCTGCACTCGCCGCCATCTCCGCCCCAGCTTTTCGTGGCAAGGCCAGTGCCTCCACCGATCTCTTTCCAGCGGCCCACTTGCCCCGCTACCACCAGCTGTTGGACCAGAGGGCGCAACAGGACCCCGCGACTTTCAATTGCTGTTTCCGTTTATTTCGTTGTCAGCAGTAGCATGGGGCAGCACCGGGGGCACATGGAGCTGTTGATGTGTCATGAGGCGCCCGGGCGATCATTGAGCAAGGCTGCTTTGCGCTGTGGCGACGAGTCCTACGACGACTCAGATTTGCAACATCTTTCGAATGGTGTCGCAAGCCTTCTGCGTGTCTTCGAGTGCAAGGTGATCGCAGCGCACATGGAGGAGTCTTGTTTCCATCCTGGTTTTTGTTTTGAGTTGGTTTGAGGCGTGAGCACGTGCTTTGCTGTCCACAAAGACGATATGAATTGGACAGATGCCGTGGAAGGACGACAACATCTTCTTGGCCCCTCTCCTGCTGGGAGTGCAGAAAGCCAACGCGATTTTGCTTCCTCTGCGCACCTCCTGGGATGGTGCCAAGGTGGAACGCATGTTGCAGGACCCGACAGAGCTTGAAGCTTCTTTTCCGTTGGTTGCAGTGGCTATAGAATGTCCCCAGAAAAAAAGTGGGCGCGGAAAACATTGGGGGCGGCCTTTACCTTCTGCTGCAGGAGTCGAGTGCATCCCTGGTCGTCACGGGTGACCTTCCGACCATGTCGCAAATTGGGCCTGTAAAGCAGCTGTCAAAACATCTCCCACCATTGTCCCACTCTGCACGAGAATACAGAGCTTCCAAAGTTGGAGTCCAGGAGCTCTGAGTCCCCGTTTAGTGCCAGGGTCGGCTTTGCTTCTTTGAGAAACCAGCGGGGCCCCAACCCCAACCCCCTTTACCTTCCACAGTGGCACTAGTCTCACGTCTCACGCTTTGCTTCTTTCTCTGCTGATGGCTTTGACGATTCCAGACTGAGGCGATATAACTTGTCTTGTCCAGTGACGGTTCTGTCCGCCAGCGAAATGGAAGCGACAGCACTGAGTCTTGCTCGTCAAGGACGCCGTGGGTTCTAACATGCAACGTTGCTTCAGGATGAGGGCAAGGTTCCGCCCTGAAATCATTGCTTTTTTTGTCCTGAGATCTTGGTTTGTGCTGCTTCTGCACGGAGTTGTCTGGTCCTGAGATCCTGGCAAGACCGCACGTTGAAGGTTCTGGTATTGGCGGGCATTCTGGGTTTCTTCCGGGATCTCTGAACGAGTACTTCAACTACAATACTGCATGTGGCAATATCAAATTCGGCGCTGTGGCGGGGACTGCTGCATGTGGGCAATCTCACGCAGCCCAGACCCTTATATAGCCGCTGCAGACTGCAGGAGGGCTCGTCATCGAACAGGCAACCCAGCATGAGTGCTACTATGCGGATGGAGGTGCCGGGGGAGGCACCGTTCCTGTGAGTCACCAGATGTCCCTGGGCAGGGAGAACACGGAAAAGGCCCCCTTGCGCCGAGGATTCTTTTTCCAGAGTTTGCACGGCTGAGGTTCGTGAATCACTGCAATCGAATGATCAAGGACGGGAGTTGAAAACTTAAGGGGCGTTGGGCCCTGTTGGTTCAAGCTCGGCCCGTGTTGTCACAAACGAGAATTGGCAGAACTCAGTTTTGGACCGTCAACTGTGGTGCTGGTCGGCATGGTGACTGTGATCCAGGATTTTGCCATTGGCGCAGATGCTCGTGCAATCTACTGCAGCGATGGCATTGACACCTTTATCAACGAGGTCAGTACATGTTTGAGGTAGAATTGCCTTCTCCCTGCATTGCTTTAGTGCATTGACCCCATCACCCAAAGACGTTTAGCCTGGGACATGCGAGGTCTTTCCGGTCCTCATGGCGGGCGGCTGTGTGGATATTCTGCCAGAAGACGGACAGGCCAAGCAGGCCGTTGCAGAACGATCTTTCAGCTGTGAGGGATAGTAGGACTTAGTAGGATCATGAGCTGGAAAGGAGGTGGGAAAGTAAGGAATCGAAGAAGCGAAGATCCTCTAACATCGCGACTCCGCCTGAATTGCCGGAGCCATTGCCATGCTTTGCTGCCGGTGTCGCAATCAGCAGGAACCTCCTCCTCCTTTTGCATCCTCGACCTCGTTATCGCATCCTTCTCTCCTCCTCATACTCGTCGTGACCATTGGGATCCACATCCGCGGCACCTCATCATCACTATCATCTTCAATCATTCTCATCTTTTCCCTCATTCTCCTCCTTGTCAGAGTAATCAGGAAATGGGGTTAGGGCGCCTTTAGCCTTGGACGCCTACAGTGAGGTCCAGAGCCGCAGGGCTTTTAGTTGCGTTTTCGGAGGTTCGAAAGATGAGGATCGTAGGCCTTCACTGCATTGCTGGCAGCTTGCCTTTGCCTGCATCGGATGTCTTTGCCACTCTTCTAGTTCTGTTACAGGTGCTGCTCTCGTGACGGCCCAGCAGAAATTCTCACGACTGCTGCTTGCAGGCGGCGTTGGCGCGCGCAATGTCGGAGGGCTCCGTGACCCACATGGCCGGAAACGAATCCAGGCTCAGCGGAAAAGGTTTGCCTTTGGCCGGAGTGCAAAGTGAACAACGGGAAAGGATTCGCTACATGAGTCTTTCCTGGACAGCCCATGCTTGCGAAATGCCTGATGCTGGTGCTTTCAGAGGTAGCGCTCGAAACTTGCGCCGCGGGGCCCAAACGTGCCCGAAAGAATCGTCTCTCTGTACTAACAGGTACAGGAAGCTTCCATAGCCTGGAGCAGCTTCATTCGAAGGTTCTTTTCGGAGCAGTGCAGTTGATTTTAACACAGCAGGCCTAGGGAATTAAATGGAGTCTCCACCTTCCAACTTTCTGGGCTCCAGGTAATGGTATATCAGCCAAGCTCCGTTGCCAGGCTCGACTCGATCAAGAGTGTTCTGGCCGGCAGCATTCGCATCAGCGCGGGCAAGGAGCCATCGACTGAAGACCGCCATCCGATGCCAGCATTCTGTCCTGGATCACAATTCAGGTGGTGCCTTCATCAGCTGGGTTATGCTGAGTTGAAGATGAGAGGGAATGACAGAACGAAGGTACATCATCTGCTCGGTCCGACTGTGCACATGTTGAGCACCTCTCCACCATCTGAACAACACTACGTCGAGTTGCTGACATGAGCAGCCGCCACAGCAACACAGCCCGGCAACCCCGAGTGACCGGCCCCGTCAAATCCCGCCGAAGCGCAGCGTGCGCAGTGATATCGGCCTGTGGAGTGGTATCTGCTTGATCATGCCCGGTCAGCATCTTGCAGTAATTCCTGCCTGACCCCTGCAAGGAGGCGATCGCTGCTCTCTGAAGAGATCGGAGGCACTTGGAATGGACATTATGGTCAGGATGTGTGATTGGTGTCGATGCCAGAGTTCTCTTTACATATTCTTAAAGCGGTCTGACCATCATGCGATCATCCCTGCCGGCATTCCCACAACAGCCGACACTGCAGACCCCAAGCATCTACTGCCAACCGTTTGTCGGATCCCTTTTCGTTCTGTGCCTCTTGTTCCTGTTTCAACTGAGCTCATGTTTTCAGGCATACGGCACCAGTACAGTGGAGGCTTTGTACGCCCCCCACGAGGGTGATGAAAGGACGCATCGCGGCTAAGCCGCTTTCTGTTCCTGAGGCCCAGATACTCCAACCGTGACAATTGTTGGCATACTTGCGGTTGAAGTTTAAAGATCCCTATCCCGGTTCACAGACAGTCATGTAGCATCTGAAGCATCATATCCACTAGCTCATTGTCGGACGTTTGTCGCCAATTTAGCAGGAATATCATTAGTATCGTAAGTAGGCGGATCCACATATCTCGCATTTGCCATGCATTGACGGGCATCTGGTTGACTCTTTGGGCTTCAGGCTTCGATGCCAAAAGCTTAGTCCCTCTCTGTCTGGCTCGATTCAATTCGATGGCGTTTGGGACCCACCCTCCTAGATTGCGTGAACATGTCATTTCTGTTGTGTTCTCCATCCTACACCTGGATCCTCTGATCATGTATGGCATTTCAAGAGTTTCAGATTGGGCTGGCTCTGGGTCCGATCTTGCACGACAATGCCGCAGTCGGTCTTTGCAACTGGCTGAATGCACGTTCTCTCAGAAGAGTAGAGTTCACAAGTCCTTTCGAAGCATTCGGAAGCCACTAACTCTGGGTGCAGAGCTCGGCCGTGAGGGCTTGGCGCAAGCACGAAAAATCTACTCTCTGAGAGATCTTTCTAAACTATGGATACCTTGGACTTGAGGTGACCGAGGGGAGCAGAGCCGTGTTCGAATCTTTCAAGTACGCAGATTGGGTTATCCTTTTTTTTCTCGCGACTTGACCCGTAGCGGGGTTCTGCCAAACGCCTGACAAGCCAAGAGCAAACTTAGCCGGAATTGCCTATCTAGGGCCTAGGGTGCTGCAGAACGCGGTTTGTGCGCTGCAACTCTTGCGCGCGTGGGGTAAAGAGATGGGGTGGGTTAAGATTTGGATGCCTCCTTGACTTTGCCCTTGCATCAAGGACAAAGGAGGCTGTAGTCTGGTTTGCCAAAATATGGCCGGGCTCTCTCTCTCTCTCTCTCT